ATGTATTAACAATTTTGTTTAAAATGTTCACCTTAACTTATATAATTGAATTATGTTTGATTGTTGTATTAAAATAAGTCATGTAGTGTAGAAAAGCCCCAGTATACACGGAAGTTGAAAATTTGCACTTGTTGCACAATCTTTATATGTTATTTTGACATGGGCAATGCAGTAAAATTAAGTGATTTAATTTTCTGTATTTGCACTGTGCAGGGCTACAGAAGGCCTAACTTCAAAGATATGGCTACAGAGCAGGCTCGTTATCAGCGCTGGCTGCTCAAGAATGAGACAAAAGGCTTCTACACCTCAGTGTTTGCTGAGGACATCAGACAGGGAGCACAGTATCTGCTGCAGGTGGGACACTTTAAACATCCGGTTAGTCTTACAATAGGTCCAGTCACATCTGCTTATTCTCCTTTATCCTCTCTTAAAGGCTGCAGGTCTGGGTCGTCTCAAACCTAACACTCTTGTGCTTGGCTTTAAAAATGACTGGCGAGATGGTGACATGATGAATGTGGAGACTTATATCAGTATGATTCAGTAAGTAGTTGGACTCTTGCATGAGAAATATATTTAGAGATTTTATTTGCACACATGTAAAATCATCTTAGATCATGATCCAAACATCATAAAATCAAGATGTTTTTAAAAAATATACTTTATTCTTAGTATCATCATTACACAATACCATTTTCCTGTTGTCTTGAGGGCATTCACATGCTGTGCCTGAAAAATAAAAATAAGGAAATCAGTACTTATTGTAGCAACAGCTCAGCAATACAGTCCAAGTCCAAATCCTCAATGAACCTTAAATCAGTCATGTGAGAGCACTACCTGCGATTCAGGCAGAATTAGAGTATAACGTGTGTGGATTATAGAATTAGTGCTGAAGGTCAAAGATGGCTCAGGCCACAATATTAAAATCACCACTAATGCACTGAGCTATGCACCTCTCCTCCCTATTGGCCAATGCAGCTGTTCAAAACATTCATTGTTATGGATAAAATCAGCTTGTTTACGTCACAGTTGCCCTGGAAAAGACATGTCCTCCTCTGGCTTCATGTTGTCCAATGAATGTTTATTTTGGATTTTCTCTTCACAGCGATGCCTTTGACTTCCAGTACGGAGCTGTTATTTTACGTCTTCAGGAAGGATTGGATGTCTCGCATATTCAAGGACAAGGTATAGTGTGAATGATTGGGTAGGATGTTATTTGTGTGTATTTCATAATGAATACTACACAGCAAAAAGTGATATTTAGGAAAGTTTAAATTCCTCAAATTAAGAACATGTAACTTCTTTTGAGTAGATTTAACAAGTAAAATTATGTAATAATTATTTCTTGATTCAAACAATATAAGATTTAGTTTCTTATTTTGAATGCAAAAAGTTGTTGTTTTTCTTATCTTTATGTAACAAGATCCATTTTCACACAGAAAGCTCTTGTCATTGGGATATAATGTTTCTTGTCATGTGAAATTTACTCTGATCAAATTAACATTTTCTTAATTCCAGTTATTTTAACCTGGAAAGATGAAACTTTTTGTAGTGTACTATGTATAATTGAGTAGTTTGTATATTCTGTTTACACTTCTGTTCCTGGTTTCCTACTCCCAGATGAGCTGCTTTCCTCCCAAGAGAAGTCTTCGGGGACCAAAGATGTGATCGTGTCCATAGACACCAGCAAAGACTCAGATGCTGATTCGTCAAAGCCATCCTCTAAGACGACCAGCCTCCAGAACAGTCCAGCCATCCCCAAAGGTCAGTCACTTCCATGTATGCTTGCTTTGTTGCTTTTAACTAGGGTGGGGCAATGTATGCTCAAAAAAATCTAATCTCAGTCAGAACTATAGGAAATGTACAATAACTTTATTAACATAATAAACAATACACCTCACATCCATAGCCCTTGACTCACTGTATTTAATGGCAAGTAATTTATGGCTATTTTTAATTTTATATCATATTTTATATTTAATTTTATATACATTTTATACAGTACATGGTGTTCTGTGCTGAGTCACCATCACATAAACCTTTATTGTAACTAAACAAGGAAGATTACATTATGACTTTTTTTCTTAGCTTAAGTAAACTGTATAATAAACAGGAATATATAGTGGGAGTGCTCTTTATTGTCACATTGACAGTGGCAGAGATATTGATGTCACTTTGTTATGAGGAAAGTTATGGGTGCTGAAGTCGCACATTTAAGATGGCATTTAGAAGCACACATTCAAACAAGCACAACATTGTGAGAGGAAGTTGCCTTGGTGACCTTTGACCTCTGTGATCCCACTGGGCTCAGTTTGTTTGTGCACAGATGTCGTGGGCCACGTTGCGTCCTGTGTGTCTTTGTGCATATCTGTATCTATGTAGTTTAGGGAGCGGACACTCACTGTGGGAACTGTCACAAACTCCAGTCTTAAACAAGGACCTTCCAGCTCATCTTCATAAATACACATCGAAGTGCTCTACAGTTGCCTAAATAAGAAAACCACAAATACTTTTACAACTTCTCTATTTTGTTTGGATTTTTTTTTCATTTATCCTCTTTTCTGTACTTTTACTTTACTTTTACTCAATATCAAATTTTGAGATATATGAATTATATGTAATATATTTGTTCAGATGGTTCTCTTACCCGTGTTTAGTCCTTATTAAAAATACATGTCTGATATCCAACCCTCTTAGTTTTCTCTGACTCCCAGAGCCTTTATTACATATCCCTTTTCTCATGAGGGATTGCAGTTTGAATCATCTTTTAATCCAACATTATCTCAGTATATTCCTGTGTATTAATGGCCTGTCATACATATGTACGTGTTACTGGCTAAAAGCAGTTTAATTTGACTTGGACCTTAGCTGTGGCTTCATTGTTCAAAACCCATATTTTCGGGTGAAAGGCTTAAGCCTTTTGTAGAAAGTGTTGCCAATGGAAAGTAGTCATAGTTTTTCCATGACCCAGTATGATGGTATGTTTCAACAGCTCTGTAGCCAGTCCACATTTATTCTAGTTCTTTTCTGGTTTTATAACTGCATGTGCTCAGTAGAAGTTCATTCACCTGAGCATTTCCACACTTAACTCCATCTCATTTGTATTTGCGTTTCTTACATTTTCCAGATGACGAAGATGATGGCAAAGCACCAACTCAGCCACTGTTGAAAAAAGGCAGGACATGCATTTTATTGATTTTTCCTGAAACCTTCTTGTTTTTCAATTTCCTGCTTTCTACGTTCTTCCTTGCAGCTTTTGTTCCATTGCCTTCCTACATCTTTTGTGAACAAAATCAAATCATACTTCAAAGTCCTCTTGAATTAAAACACTGTCCGCTCTTTATTTTGTGGCTCTTGTGTGTGTCTTTCTGACATTTAAATACTAACAATTAGTGTTTCCTTCTTTGACCTCAGTGTGCAGCTGTGTGTGAGTGTGCCTTTAAACCACTCTTTAGCCTTGACTCTAGTTTTGAGTGTGTGCCAGCTCTGCAAATTCAAACTGTCTTTAGTCGTCGGTCAGACTGCAGTTTGTCTCTGACAGTTTGTAAGGCTTTCTTTTTCAGGAAGAGAACTCCTCTCCAGGTTTCACTGTTACACCTTGTTACACCTTGCTTCTAACTCATTTCTAGTTTGTTTGCTATATGCCTTTCATTGTTTATATTCAGTAAAAACCACACAAATGAATATAAATTTAACAAAATTGAAAATTATTACTTTTTCTGTTATCCTAAATTGTGTAATGGAATTCCCTGTAAAATGTTCATGTTATTAATTTTATCAAGGAAACAAATGGCAAACTCAACATAAGCTTGTTTGGTTTATTACAATATATAACAATGGATGAATAACATTGGTAAATGACAATAGTTTGTTTTGTTGTACTGGGTCATGTTTTCTTGATTTTTTAACTCTGCTAAATCTCTGTTCTTCAAATGCAGACAAGAAGAGCCCAACTATGCCGCTGAACGTGGTTGACCAGAGACTGCTGGAGGCCAGTCAGATGTTCCAAAGGAAACAGGGCAAAGGTACCGTGGACGTGTGGTGGCTCTTCGATGATGGAGGTGAGTGTGTCTTTCATTATTCGAACACAGAGAAACATTAAAATCAGCTTGAAGTTTTGATACAAAAGACCCCATTTTGTCATGACGCACCAAAGTACTAGTACATTGGGTAACACTTTGTAATAACGACACTCTCAATACCCTTAATAAAGAATGGACAAAAACTTCATTCCTAATTATTAATACATTGCTTATTAAGAATTCAGACTTAGGGTATTAATTAAGTAATTACTAACTCTTAAACCCCTAATCAAGTAGTTACTAAGCCTAAATCTTGTCAATAAACTATTTCTTCATTACACAACACATTGCCAATAATGAGTTAATAAATAAATAAATTCCCATTATATGTATATTTGATTTAAGAAAATATTGACACTGGCTGCCTCTTCTCAGGTCTTACTTTGCTGATTCCCTATCTGCTCACGAATAAGAAGAGATGGAAGGACTGTAAAATTCGTGTCTTTATTGGGGGCAAAATTAACCGCATTGACCACGACCGCAGAGCGTGAGTGCTTTCTCTTTCAGTAAACATTTGGATTAGCCACAAGAACAACATCTCTGCTTTCTTTTAAATATTTATTAGTAGAAATAGTTTAGAACATTCACAGAAGTAATTATTGCTACACAACCATTAGAAAACTTACTTTGTGTATCTTATGTATTGTAATTAAATATTAACTTATTTTAAAAGCTGCTATTTTGACTTTTTAACATTGTGTTGACACAAACCAAAAGGGAAACTATAGTTGTTAACATTTCATTCATAATGTCCAATCAGAATGAGGCTAAACAGTATGCACCTCTCTCACTTGTGCTGTGTGTGCACTTCCCCTCCTCTTTTGTCTCTCATTGTCCCCTACAGCTGCCTCCTACATCCTTTTGTTGGATAAAATTAGCTTTGTACGAGCACTCTGCATTTTCCTCCCTTTTTTTAGCTCACAGTTTCACATAAAAGCTAAATGCATGTTTATTTGATGCTGAATAACTGTCTGTGTTGACTATTTGTCTGTGCTCTATTAGATTTTAGTGCATCTCCACCTACAACCTGTGGCTGGGATCCACGTGCAGAGTTGTAGTGGAGCACATATGTGTTTTATTTGCTTTTAGCACAGTTGTTGTTTTGAAGTGAAGGTAGAGAAATGAGTCTCATACCCAAAGTGCCATCAGCCTCAGATACAAAGTAGGGAAAAAAAAGCCATCAGCCTCAGCTCTGGGTCTTATATTTCCTCTAAAAGCCCATCTTCAGACAGCAGAGGTCTCATTCACACCTCTATAGGCTAAAAATGTCCTCACTCTGGCTCTGCATCTGTGTAACCATGTGTGCTCTTTATGTACAGAATGGCCACTTTGTTGAGCAAGTTCAGGATAGACTTCTCTGACATCACTGTGCTGGGGGACATCAATGTGAAGCCCAAGAAAGAACAGTAAGTTTTGAATCATTGTGTTATAGCATGTTATTTAAACACACAGTTGTAGTTTCATTTGTAACCTTTGTTTTATGATCAGTCTATTCTCATATACAGATCTGCTTATTAAATTGAATTGTACTACTTCATGTAACAATTTAAGAAGAAAAGATTGATGCATGTAGTGTGATCTTGGTGCATGCAGATTGTCAGAACTTGACCACTTCCACCCTCATGTGGTCTGCCTGTATAAAACAACTACTCCACATAAAGTGTGAACACCAAGACAAAGAGACATGACAAAAGTGTTAAGGGCCAAGTCTTCTATCTAAACCTGTGTGTAAGATTATTAAATGGTAATGTGTTGATTTTGTTTTTGTGAAGCGTTACTGCGTTTGAGGAAATGATTGAGCCTTATCGGCTGAAAGAGGACGACATGGAGCAGGATGCTGCGGAAAGGCTGAAGAACAGCGAGCCCTGGAGAATCACTGACAATGAGCTGGAGCTGTATCGTGCAAAGGTCTCTTCAACATAATCTGTATTTCACAGTTTTAAATACAATGTGTCAAATGTTTTATTTTATCAACTACACTCTGTCTGAACCATTTTTTTATTACTGTTTTTAGACTAATCGCCAGATCAGACTGAATGAGCTGCTAAAGGAGCACTCCAGTACAGCCAACCTCATTGTCATGTAAGTCAAAGGATTACAGTGGTGCAGAGCATTAGTTATTCACCATTCAAGGCTGATTACCTGCGTCTTCATCAGTTTTTAAGTATGATGGTTTAGTGTGATTGTGGGTATCAGGTGCTTAATTTACACTATAGTAGAGTATTCTTATTATTTATGTCTGGTGGCATCCAATCACAGTGTAGTGTAAACTTTCAGAAGAAGCAGATGAAGTTATTTACCTCATGAACTATGATTAAATGAAAACTGTGGTCTGATTTAAAAAAATAGTCACGTGAAATAGCAGTGGGTTTATATGACACAAAGCTTGGTTAATTTTGTGCTGTTCTCCTCGCAGGAGCCTGCCACTGGCTAGGAAGGGTGCTGTGTCGAGTGCTCTGTACATGGCCTGGTTAGAGGCACTGTCCAAGGATCTGCCTCCAATATTGCTTGTGCGTGGCAACCACCAGAGCGTCCTCACCTTCTACTCATAAAGACACCGGAGAAGCCACACCTGACCCACGCACAAGTCCCAGTTACAGTTCAAACCCAAAGGCACACTCCCCTGAGAAGATAAAAACACAGCCATGGACAAAATCACACTGTATGAATAATGATTATGATGCAGTCAGATTGGCAGAGATGAGCTGGACCCTCTGTATGTGAGTGAGGGTCTGAATTTGTCGCCCGCTCTGTTCCTCTCTAGTTTCTCCGGGCCTGGGTGTTTAATCTCTAGCTTTAGTTTTAACCTTTTGTTCCACAGAAATGTTACATTTGTTAATTTCTCTCAGGCAGTCCTGCACATGTTTATATTTGTATTTTCGATGTCATCCTTGTCTAAGTGAGTTGGACCAGTTTTTGTTTTTTTGACAAAAGCAATAAGCACCTACATGTTTTTATTTTCACTGTCTCAAAGAGAGGCTGACAGAACGCTTTGCAAAACCTTTTAAAGCCTTATGGTTGTGCCTTCCACTTGAATCAGATAGAATAAGTGATCTCTATAGATTGACAATATTTTATGTGGGTGGATAGTACTTTAGTTTTATTGAGATTTAAATGTGAATTTGTCTAGTTGGTTCGGTGTATTTATGTGTGGATTATATGAGTTAATGAAAAACAATCCACATGGTTGACAAAATGACTTATTGTCATTTTTTTTATTATTCTTATTGAACATTTTTGGGGCATAGTGTTGTCACTTTGGAGTCTTCCTTTAAGCTGCCGAATATTAGCCTCAGTGACTCAGCAAAAGACACAATCTTAACATGTGCATGGATCTTAGATTTAAGATCTAGCTGTTTGTCAGAAAATATGTGAATTTAGTTTTTTTTTCTTGCCTGCTTGGGTGGAAGGATAAGTTGCCCCATGTAGCTGCTGACTGAAGTAAATGAAGTGTTTCCTTAATTAAATACTATGTTGTCACATGCACAGCTCTTCCCCTTAAGGTGTAACTGTTCTATCCAGAAGCTTCGTTTGAACTTTGCCTTAATGCTTGGAGAACGATTGTCACTGCTTTTTCTATAAGCCATACTGGCTGGTCAGCAGAGTCATAAATGTAGATCCATTAGTTCCATGTGAAGTTTTGACACATTTTATTTTCTTTCCATCTTAAGCTGCATTAGTCTGTCCTGTAGGTTAGGTCTGCCCACTGCTGCTCAGTACTCAGCCAAGAGATGGAACCAGGCCAGCGTCACAGACACAGTGGACTTGAGTTTGCTCTCACTCACCTGGCAGTTTGTTGTCTGATATACTGCTGGTGTTGAGGAGAAACTCGACTTAAGAGGAACTAGAAGAATGGAAAGCAGAAAGTGAGAGAAGTCTCAGTGAAAATATACCTCTATGCATATGAGTTGTGTTACACATATTGGAATAATAACCCATACTTTCATGTGACTGTTTTTATTGGTTCAATGCTACCTTCTTACATTCTTTAAAAATGTTACCTTTTTATGGAAAAGCCATCATCATTTCACATTTTTGGTCCGGTGCACGTTGGATCCTGGATGGAGTTCTCAATGTTAATAAACTGCCACAATCAAATAGCCTGGCCTGCCATACAACTTTCTTGTTAAATTCTATCAGAAAAAAAATCTGTCCGGTACTGCTTTCTTTGAATATAAGGCTAAATGGCAGGAAGTAAACCCAATTGCAAATGAGTCACATCTACTTGTTCATATTTTCCCATCCAGCAGCCAGTTTCTGTGGTTTTAAGGACACGCCAAGGTCTGTCAAAAGCGCAGCATTAGACAGCGTAATCAAATGCAGCCACCATGGTAACAGGAAGCAATCAAACCTGTATCTGTGCAGTACCAGACAGACCTCTGTAGAATGCAATGAAAGCCGTGAGGATATCCAGGCTCACAAACCAATGAAGTCAAACAGGGTTCTCTAGTTGTCTCTAAGTTCACTGCTCCTGCTATTTGTCCCTCTAAACTAACAGTTACATTGGTTGATTTATATTTTGACTGATTTGACTTGTATGCAATTTCATAAGAATGTTTCAATGTTTAGAATAGCTGAATGTACTGTATAATAAACACTACGCTAGCAGTTAGCCCACATATTCTATTTTTCTTATTATTTTCTTTAAATGTTTTGTGCACAGCAAGCAAAAACTCTTCATCTGACGGGCATTGTCCGTATATTGTGTATGTACATGTTACACTGGCTACTTTGCTAAGTGTGTGCACACTTATACTGGTCTATTGACCAGAGTTCAGTAGTAAACATCACTACGACTGGTCCAGTTACTAGCCTTTTCAGCAAACATGTTGTGCATAATTTCTTTTAGAAAGTTGGGGCACTTTTTATGTTACAAAATTTAGAAATATTTTATATTTGCTAAATCTTCAGCCTGCCTGTTAAAGAGCATCATTATCAAGAAGACGGGTTACTCTATATTTGTAATTTAGATAAAGTATACTATATAAGCCCTGTATATTACACTTAAGAACCAGTCTGAACTGATGCTGTCTGTTGATGTCATAAGAGATGTGTTCAATGATTTTTCAACCAAAATAGTGTTGTCCTCTTCACTAATGTCCTGACAGTAACTCCTGATTATCATACTGCTGCTGAGCAAACCAAATCTCATTGTGATCTCAAGAATCAGATGTTTTTTTTTTTGCCAAAGCTCTTGCCTTTCCAACTCCAATCTTTTGCATGTTTAGCCATGATCAGAAGTTTTGTTTTGATTTCTCCTGGTCCTGTCGTCCACCCCTTCAATCTAAACTTGTAAATACATGTAGTCTCATGGTACAAATTAAGGGAGTGGAGTATTCTTGAAATTCATAATGGAAAAGTATATTTATTTTAGTCTAGCCTTTCTCCCTTAGCCTTCTTTAATATTTTGTTTGGTTGTAAGTTAATTTGCATGTTGATTATGTTTTTGATTTTGATTTGAGCAGGTTGTCTTTTTTTCTCCTTGATTATGTGTACTTCTTTTCAATGCCTTCTGAAGCAAAAGCAGATCAGACCAGTTTCACTCTGAAGTGTCTCCAGCCGGTTAAAGCAGTAATGTTTTGATACACTGTACTGTTAACAGTCAGAGATATGCTTTTTTCTAACATTTTAACATTTATGATTACCAATACTTTGTACATCTTTATTGCAATAAATAAATAATCAGTAAACTTTGGTGTTCTGAGTTACACTGTGGAGAAGGTTCTGTAGTGGAAGTAGTAAAGTCAAGTATTCAGTACATTTAAAGGATTGTCCAAATGAATGTCTGTGGTTGAAAGTACAAGAAAAATAATAATCCTAACCACTTTATAAAAATATATATTTCATACATAAATAATATTCAGATGGTTATTTTAAAGTTATTATAAAGCATAGTAAATATACAAATATTTGGAACCAGAGATTTATGTGCACTGTATAAAACATGACTATTTTTCCTCACCAATATTTCAAATAGATAATTTTGCCAAACTGTTGCGCCATTGTGGGCTGTGAAAGAGTGACTCGTGTCCAGTTTAAATCAGATTTGTACAAAAAAAACAAAAACACCACCATCAACAACAAAACGCTTTTATGCTTTTATGTAGTGTTTATAAACTTCTGGTTCTAGTTATACTTATCAAGTCTGTGGTAATTTTAACCCATTATTAATTGGAGTTTTTAAGGACCATAACTGGCACTAATATAACAACAAGAATAACACAGACTGATAAAAGTGTTAAAGATAAAAATTTGCAAATCTTTTTTTGTTGTTCCTCAGCTTCTTTCTTTCTGAGTAAAGAATCAAATCCAGGTGTGTACAGCTCTTCAAGCCAGAAGTCTAGGTCCTTGGGGGTTTTCTCAGCTTCCTGAAAAAGGAGGGCAACAAATACATTTATTTTTATTTTTTTTAATAACTCATACATAATTACGACTTTTTCAACTACCTCTGGTCATTTTAGTGGCATTTTACAAAGTGGTTACAAGAACATACACGCCCCCTACTGGTGATTTAAAAAATAAAGTGGTTTATATTAGATTTAAATAAATGAATTCAAACGTTTATATTGAGCTTAGATTTTAAGTGTATGGTTTTAAAAACACTGAGAGCACTTCATGGATTATGTAACAAATAAATGTACAGGATTATGCATACATTTTGAGGAAGAAACTCCTTTATGATTAAAACGTTTCAGTAATTGGTACATACACTTAGTTGATTTACTGCAGCTACAAATACCTTTAGATAGTTGGCAAGATTTCCATGCTCAGTTTGCATGTCGTATTCCTGCACAGTCCAAGAGGGTTTGTTCTTCTCGTTATCCACCTCTTCCAACTCAATGAAATCCATGTACAAAGGGTTGGTCTTGATAGTGGTCTTCAGAGTGACAGGGGTTATGTGTTTTTCCAAATATCTATCCTTAAACATCACAGGACTGTTCTCTGGAGAAGGAATCTGGGTCTGGCCTTCCCCTCTCACACGCTGATTCTCCATCTGTAGTGAAGTAGACAATTAAAGCCAAGCCTATTACACGAGATTGAATCACACCTCTAAGAATCTATAATTCCAAAAAGCAGTGTTACAATGACAAGTAATATATAAATTTTTATTAATACATGAAACTATTAATTGAATCTAACTATTTGTGCATCATAAATGGTGACAAATGATCATCTTGTTTGGTTCTTGTTGACCCAATCTTGACTCTTGTCTCATCATGTGGGAAATTGTGTCATACCCGTAGTAACCATTGTGTAAAAGGTAAAGATTTGTATCTTGTATTTTATTTAATCTTTGTATTTTGAACCACTGAATCATGACATTAAAGCATCTCATGTATAATCCTCACAGGATAACAGATTATAAATCTGTATTGCAGAGACTGGTAATATTATCACAAAACAGCATGTTCACAGTTAGAACAAAAAGGCCCTGCTCCGACCAGGAAGTGCTGTGAGTCCCACAGTTACCTGGTTATAGACCCTGTTGTGCCAGTGTTTCTGAGAGGACATCACTGCCTGGAGCTGGAACATGCCGTGGGTAGCCGGCAGCATGCCCGCATCTAGCTGGAGGAACCTCCCAGGGTCGTTATTGTTGGGCAAAGCAGAGATGTCCATGGTACTTTTATTTGCTCCATTCGCTCCTTGTCTTCTCAGTCTACTCTTCCTGTCCTGCACATGCCCAGTTCACTCGCCCTCTGTAATAATTAATGAGTCTGTATCACTTGCAGGTGTGTGTAACATGAGGACTAATGTCAGAGGTGCAGTCTTAATCTTTAGGTTGACATCAGCTCCAGGCTGTCGTAATGCAGTGTTTCCCAATCTTTTTTTTATGGGGACTCATGTTTTAAAAGTCACAAACCTTTGCGACCCAAGCCAATAGACAGTAGTCATAAATCACAAAATAAAGGTGCATTTGACCATTACTAAACATTAATGAGGCTATTTTATTGTTGATTGAGTGATCGTGTCTCCATGAGCAATTAGTATTACACAAGTTATAAACCATGAAAAACAGTCACTGAACCAGCAATAAAAGTTGCAGTGTGTGTGCATTTAGGCACCAGATCACCTGCACTGTTAGCACATAAGAAAATAGTCAGTTGCTTGTTATTATGTGTGGCATATGTGAAACACAGACATGCAGCGGCTAAACTAAGTATTGGACACATTTAATAAAAGTTCACCAGATTCCAAAATGAAAATTAAAGCCGTTCGCGGTGCGCCCCAGGGAGTCTTTGCTCCCCTGCTGGCCAACAGTGGAAAATGCATCATGTCTTTAATATATTTGTTTGCTCGTAATCATCAATTTTTCGGCCACTAGGAGCATCGCTTTGCGATACTAATAGGCCCTTCGCCAGTCTCTGGCGCTCCGGCCTAATAATAATAATAATAATAATAGGGTTGGGCAAAAATATTTTTTTAAAATCGTGACTAATCGCATGAGTTCGAGCGATTAATCGCGATTAACGCATGTTATACGCAAAACCAATTAATGACTTAAAAAGTAGAGTATAGCGCTCTTTTATTGGAAATGTAAATGAAAGAGCCATACATTTGTTGTGCAAACAGCATTTCTTTCACAGGGGAATCCTCAGAGCCTTCAAGGTATTCAGTGAAGGCTCAAGAAAAAATATTGAATGGACGTTTATACTGCTAATATATTTATTGAATATTTTTTATGCTGTGAGTAATGAACACTACACTAGTAATAATTTCTAGATCAGTGCTATAAACTTGGACTGATATTTCTTAGGAAACAAAGGGTTAATATAATGGAATGGAAATGGACCAATCACATTTTTTCTTCCAGTGGTATCTGGGTAAATCAGTTACTCCAGCACTGAATTAAAGAAATAAGCTCAGCTCAGAGCGCAGGGCTGGTCCGGCCAGAGCCGGTGTAAAGGTTTCAAACTACCCCCGGTTTCAAACTACCGGGGGGTAGCTTGAAGCTGGTTTCAAATTATGTTATTAGGTTCTTTTTTTCAGACCTAGAGTGTGACATCACGTGACCACTCTGAGGAAGACGCTAGTGAGCAGTCGAACTGTCAGGTATGAAATAACACTCTAGGTCTGAAAAAAAGAACCTAATAACATAGAATATTGGAAGACCAAATGAATCTCATTGGACTGGTTTCAAATTACCCCCCGGTAATTTGAAAACGGTTTCAAGCCCCTAACCCTAACCCCTAACCCAACCACCCTTAACCCTAACCCCTAACCCAACCACCCTTAACCCTAACCCCTAACCCTAACCCCCGGTAATTTGAAACTGATTACCGGGGGGTAATTTTTGAAGGCGGTAGTTTGAAAACGCTACACCGGTGCCCGCGGCCGAACCCGCGGCCGGGCCCGCGGCTCGCGGAGGCTCGGGCACGTTGCATCTCACGTGGTGAGAAAAAAGTGAAAAAAGTGTAAAGAAAAGACGTCAAACTTAAAGAAACACTCACGGTGGACTTTTTCAAAATAAAAGCCAGTGAGAAACAGACGTTTACAATAAAGTAAATATATAAATAATAAAAACTGCGTTAACGGCGTTAAAATAATTGTCGGCGTTAATGACTTAATTAGTTAACGCAAAGTTAACACGTTAACGTGCCCAGCCCTAAAATAATAATAATAATAATAAGAAGAAGAAGAAGAAGAAGAAGAAGAAGAGGAAGAAGAAGAAGAAGAAGAAGAAGAACCCCTACTAGCATCAGGATCCGCAGCGGATCCGCTTTCGCTCCGCCAAATCCGCCCCACAGTCCGTCCGCTTTGCGGATCCGCTGCGTATTTGTTCCGTATTCGCATTCTGACTGTTGCTAACCCTAACCCTTGGATGGCCTGCTGTTACAGAGAGAATCTGCGGTTAAATCATCTTAGATCCGCACTGTGAACGCACTTTTAACACAACACTTTGTTTTTGACACAATGATTTGTTCTATCAATGCGCGGATCCGCGGCTAAACCGGTTCGGATTCGCTGCGCGGACGCGCCACTGACTCATCAGCCGTTATCAGAACCTGAGAGAAAGAAACAACATCCACCTGTTGTCCGCGGATTTAACTGTAAGAAATAGTTTAAAAGTGAATTGTATTAGTCATCATTAATGTACATAACGTTAACGTTATATTGTGGTGTGTGTACATGTGTGACTGTGTGTCAGTTTTGACAAGTGCAGTAGGAAAGTTAGCGACAGTAGCAGCTAACGTGATGAAGACGATGTGAGGTCAGGAGTCAGGATAACTCCATCTCTTGAGCTAGATCCCAGTCTAAATGTTATTTTTATATAACGCTACTTATATTCTTGTATATTTTTACGATCACAGAAATGTAATTCTGCTCCGTGATCATTGGTCGTGTCTAACGGGCTCGGTTCTGACTGGACGCCGCTCTCGGCGCTCTCCCTTCGGCTGTGGAGCGACGGTGACACCGGTGTCTGATCTGGTTGTGTTTTTAACCAGAGATAATTATTATTTGTGTAGACTAGAGTGTTGACTGTTAAGTTGAGACTAAAGTGCAGTCATGTCAGTGCCTTAATACAATAATTTAACGCAACGTGCCATAATACAATAACGTAACGTAATAAAAAGCACAACTTTTAACAACAGCTAACGTTAGCTAACCAACCAAAACTTATGTTGTTTTTCCCCAGATGACATCAGGAGCCCCTGTCCTTCTGCTGAATGTCCCCATCAGGAGCCCGGCA